GTGAAGATGGGTATTATTTTAATGGAGATGACAATCATGAAATCCAGTTAGGTAAATAAAAAATTTAAGTTTTTAATGTTTATCATAGCTTTAAGTAATTTATATAATTTTATCACAAAAAAAATGTTTTAAGGTTCCGAAACTAACAAAAAAGTTAATTCAATGAATTATTATTCATTCAGGCTTATGGTTGGAGAAGTTGAGGTCAATCACATCTTAATATGTTAGCATCTCTTTCACCAATATGCTGTTGATATGTATGTAAAAGTGGAAACTGAGTGATTAATGTTTTTCAGGTTGAACCAGGGAAAAACTCCATTGAGGAATAAAGAAATTAACTTCATTCATATAAAAAGGTTACAGATATTTCTTCATTATAGGGTGATACGAAGTCGCCGGGCAGCTAGTTGATTTATAAAGATCAATAAAATTTCAAGCAACGTAAATTGAATTTGACACAAAATAATAAACGATTATAAATTATTGTTAATGACATGAATATGAAGGGGCTCGTAGGCCTCGACACTGACAGATGTGGAGACATGTAAATAAAAATATGTTTTATAATTGATGTCATCTGAAAACATGTCATAAAACTTGACTCACTAAAGTAACAGATAACAGACAATTACTATAATTATAGTATACTCATTATAAGTAATACATGAACTTATGGTGTAATTTTTACTTTGTCATTGAAAACGTTTTGAGATAATATTCCTAATATGTTTATTCAATTAAGCAAAAGATAGCAGTACAGTCGTATTTGTATTTGTGACACGATATTATGATGTAGTAATGGTTGCTTCAATTTGCTTTGAAATTTACTCGTCATAATTTACTATAGACAAAATATCCTTTACTAAATGATAATTATTAAATTCTACTACATTTAAGATTAAAACTTTATCATATTTTACAACTACAGTTCTGATAATATCTATATCATTCAACTAGAGAATCCCCTTTGTAATGAAACAGATTTAATTAATGTTGCGTGTTGTAACTGCTGAAATAGGTGTTTTATGTTATTAATTTACACAATTGAAATGAATTATTTACTTTATTGTGTAACGATTCAATATAACGAATACATTTTAATGACAAGATTATTTATATGTTTACTTCATTAATGTTAAAGGTGGCATTGTTTTAGTGATATTAGAGAATCCGTGCACCTTTAAATTTTGTTTTCATTAATGGCTTAGAATTCATGTTACAGTCAACAATATTCTTAAAATATTCTTCTATTTGTAAAAACAAGTTTCTTTTTATTTTGTGGTTTATGTTAAAAGAATATTATTATGAGAGTGTTTTGAAACTTAACTCACAGTAATACATATACACGTACATGTAGTGTAAATAATATTTTTCCTGTACTATAACAATCTAATCTTTATAATTACAGTATACATCAACATCACTGACGAAAACTAACCATGTTAGCGAGCATGGTGCTTCAAGGAAAAGTAACTCTGTTACGGGTCAATTGGAATCTAGACCGAATCACGAGAATTTACTTAAAATAACTACAAGGAACTTTTAATATATCGACACTTTGTATTTGATGAAAATAAAGAAGAACTAGAAATGAAACTGTGTGAATAAAAAACAATTTTGTAACTGTCCTTATAAGCTCTGATTGTATTTTTTTATATTACGATATACGAAATATGATATGATTACGATATACGAAAATTGTTCTGATATTTCAAAACTAATGTATACTTATCCCTACTAATATTATAAATGCGAAAGTAACTCTGTCTGTCTGTCTGTCTGTCTGTCTGCTACGCTTTCACGCCTAAACCACTGAACTGATTTTAATGAAATTCGGTACAGAGATAGAGTTGACCTTGAGAAAGAACATAGGATAGTTTTTATCCCAGACTTTTGAAAGGTTCTCTTGGAAACGCGATATAACCGAACTCCACGCGGCGAAGCTGCGGGCGGAAAGCTAGTATTATTATAATCAAATTATAAGAGATCCGTTTCTGTGTACAATTTCACATAACTGTCGAATAAGACTAAACCCACAACAATAATTTTGTTGATGTTCTTTTCATTGTGTCAGAGTTAATAATATGAATGTTTAATTCTATATTAACAATTGATAACACACGACAAGGGTCGTACAAACAGTCAACCTTTATCATTGGCACAGCTTACGTCCTTTATCTTATGTTTGAGGTACAGTGTCAGACTTGATACTTAATGTAAGGCGTTTATTCAAATAATATTCTACAAATTTGCTATATAAACTGATAACCAAGCGTTGCCATTACAAAATTAACATAGGTTCAGTGATAGAAATAATAATTATAAATCATTAAAAATATTGTTTTACATATAATTATTATAAGCCATTTATGTGTTTTCTATATAACTTAAATTGAGTATCAGGTTACCACAATTTTATCCCGGCCACGTCCACAGGTACATTAATTTATTATTGATTAAAATTTGAAACAAAAATGATTGTTAGGATTACAGTATATTATAATTTGTACGGCACAGATGGCGCCACTTGTGACACTTAGAAATTCTATCTCAGAAGTTAAATCTGAAGTCAATACTAATTAGGCTTGAGTTAATTTTAAGTAGTAAATGATTTCTTCAAAAATTTTAAAGGTTCCGATAACTTACATGTCTACATTTTTCCATTATAATTGAAACTAAAATGACAGTAAAATATCTCATATAATAGATAATACAGTTAATTAAGTTTGGAAATCTGGTTCCAAATATCTGTTATTAAAATAATCATTATATTACACGTCTAGTTTAAATGAAGTTATGACTTTCCAAATACTACGGGGATTTTTATTTTATTTTACATTTTATCAGCTGTTTTCTATATTTTATAACAATTCTAGTTGAGTTTTAATCTTGTATATTTGTATAAAACTACAATACATTACAAAAAAATAAACTAGGTACTTTATTCTCTTAAAATTACTTTCAAAATCAAATTCCTTTTATAATGTAAATAATGGTGATAATCTTTAATAAAAATGTTTTTGCTTCAACATTAATTGAATTACATACATGTAAGTATGGATACAGAAGATAATTGAATTATTAAGAGCGTCAAGATTTCTAGTTTCAGTTTAGGTCTGCAAATGAAGTTTACATTAGGATCTATGAGAATTTCCTTGTAAAGGTATCATCTGCTTTAATTTGATACTTCACATTTTAGGCCTATACTTAAAACTTCCCTCAAAATACAAAGTATTGATACGAAATACTCTACGCTAGAGTTTGCTTGCTCATAACACAATCATTGCTAAAATAAATATTAGACTAAAAGAGGCTTTATTTTTATCCAAAATATGACATAGAATATCTGGCCAAAGACCAAATCGTTGGCGACCGCAATTTTATTTCAATATTATTTTCTTTCTTTACCATGACATTGCGATTCTTTGAATAAAAAGTATAATTGAGCTTTTATCGTTTTTATTAATATAATTTAACTACTCAAACTGGTCCCTTTTTAATTTGGCAACTCACAACGAAGTTTATATTGAGATGACTTTCACGAGTATTAATTTGAATGAAACTAATATTTTCGGATTACTACGTGCTATTTTATTATTTTTAACACTATCTAATTTTGCAGCAACTGAAACGTCGGGAGTATGTTGTTTTAAACTTGCGGTGCTCCATTTATAAAGTAATTATGTGATAAATGAATGAGATGTACATTCTTCTTCTACCTGGCAATTTCCCAGCTATAGCCAGGGTCTGCCTTACATGTTATGAATAGTTTTTGGCTATTTGTTTTTACGACCGGCCGCCTGCCTGACATCAACCCTCTTTTGGGAATCAACATTAATCAGTGATGTCTAAATACTCTTAGAAAGTACATATGATTCGGAAAAATCACATTGGTACTTGCCCGGGCCAGGATCGAACCCGTGCCCTCGGCGACGAGAGGCCGAGAGGCGGGCCCTTTAACCACTGAGCCACCACTGACTATTTACATTATAATTCATTTTGTATAACCGCAAAATAAATTGGCGCGTTAATTTTAGAATACTTTAGGCGTATAATGCTTATGAAGTTAATTAATGTATGTTTGTGTTGTTAGCAGAATATGGAAAGTAGAATTATTAAAGCAGCTTTAACACACGCCGTAACGAGTGAACCCAGTCATTAATAATATTATAACGGCTAACTCAACGCAGCTATATTAATAACAAAATTCACTCTTGTTGGTTGAATTTTTATACAAAAGACACTATATACATAATTCTATCTGAAAATGAGTGTTCTGTATAATATTTTAATGAAAGTCGTAAAAAAATAATTCATAATACTTAAGAATGAAGAATATTGTTTCAAATTGTTTTGGGTCTTTCAAACATCACGTGTTCAGGTGGCTCCTTCACAAACAAGGCCGGCAACGCATCTACAACACCCCTTGTGTTGCAGATGTCCATGGGCGACGGTGACTGCTTACCATCAGGCAGGCCGTCTGCTCGCTTGCCCCTTTGGTTTAAATAAAAATAAAAAAAAAAAATAAAAAAAAAATGAAACAGTGACGTAACATGCAGATAAGTAGTTATAGAAAGGTGCTTTTAAAATATACAATAATTTTTAATCAATAAATATAATAAACAAGTTTTTATGTCTTTTATTAATTTTTATTTTGATTAAGATTAAATTTTTATACTTCCTCTTTGAACAGAGACAACTAAGTTCTTCTAGATATTGGTCTTTTAAATGCCTTTATATGTTGAATAAAAAGTAATATATTTTTTTATCCCTACTAATATTATAAATGCGAAAGTAACTCTGTCTGTCTGTCTGTCTGTCTGTCTGCTACGCTTTCACGCCTAAACCACTGAACTGATTTTAATGAAATTCGGTACAGAGATATATAGATAGTTTTTATCCCAGACTTTTGAAAGGTTCTCTTGGAAACGCGATATAACCGAACTCCACGCGGCGAAGCTGCGGGCGGAAAGCTAGTGACAAATAAATCTATTGTTAATTTAGAAAATTACTGTAGCGCACAGAGGAGGTGAAATAAGTCCGGCGAACAGGTCCGGCGCTCGTTGTTGTTGTAGTCCAAGAGACAGAAGGTTGATACTCCCGGGGTAAGGGTACGGAAGGAACTTGGGTCGCGTGTCCAAGTTACCCAAGTTGTACGCCAGATGTTCACTCTTCATCTCCGTGTTAGTATCTTTGGTATCACTGATCAAGGCGTCCACTAGGAAGGATCTCGACATGGTGCTGCTCGCCGGCCCGGGCTCGCCTCACGACTGATGACTGTTCCCGAGATCTCCTCCACTAACAATTACTAAACCTACCCCCACTAAGCACCCCATTGTAAACAAACACAATGCCACTCACTCGACGCGTTTCGTCAATTATTTGGCCCGGCCCACCCTTTTGTCGGCGGCCCGTCGCCCCAATGGTAGTTGAAAAAAAATATAGTATTTTTATGAATGGGTCGTTTTAGTAGCTATGAATAATATTGTATGGGGAGCTAACATCCCTTGTATCTGTCTCATTAAATTCAATTTGGTTACTGTTTTAGATGCTTTTTAATTTTTCCCTATTGTTATTATAATCAAATGGATGCTGCTAGTGCAACCAGCTTTACGTCGTTTTAGAGAAAATGTACTTTAATATTTCATATTATATTTTTAACAATTTTTGTGTGTTTTAACAAACTCATTGAACAAAGTTGTTCTTAATAATTTAATATAATGAGAGCATGACTTCTTACAAATATATCTTTGAATAGTTATATTGTAATCTCTTATAAGTCGACCTGAACTCCGTGTAAACATTATTTATTATTAAGATATGTGATAATTATTCTTCATAACCGGTCAGTGTAAGTACCAAAAGTATTGAGTCCGTGTAGTCGAGTGTCCATTAATTAGATATGAATGCTTCATAATGCGGACCGTATGTGCTGCTCGTGGGGTGGTGGCTGGTCCATCAGCTACCCTCGCCCCGCCCCGAACAGGACCGGTATGAAGCATTAAAGGGATCAAATTGTGAATCAATGCGTGTTATTATCATGTCAGAATTAATTTAAAACAACTCGCGCGGTGACGGCTACATGATGCTAATGGCGCGTCTTTAAGAGTTATTACTTCATTCATACTACATACCATGTGTGCTGTGGACCGGATTACATTATTAACATGTTACTATAAGATGAATCAGAATCATTACAAGTTAAAGTTTAATTCACAGTATCTACTATCTTTGTTTGATGATATCTCAGACCGACATCCAAATGGCCGATAGAAAAACGCTGCCAAAACTCTTTATGCTACACCCTCATGTTTAATATTAAACAATGTACAAAGAGAATCCTTTCTTGCAGAACTATGTTTTCGTTGAACAAATATAAAAGAAAAACATGATCGGCAACTATCTGAGGTGGAATAAAAAAATATGTTTACGAGAATATAACTAATAATAAGATCTGATATCCCCTGAACTGATACATGATAAAGGGTTGCAGTACACCCGGGGCTTGTGAGGGTGTCATTATTTGGATAATTGGCACAGACATGGACCCGGTGTAGGGTAGGTCGGGAATCATCCGGGAATCATTTGATTATATCGATCTATCGGTAATTATCTATTATTATCAATATGTTTTGATCCTTACTCTATTTAATAACTGTATTATTTTTTGTCTCGTGTTTGGTTTTTGTCCTCTCTCTGATGATGACGAGCATATTGTGTCGGAATATAAATGTACAGTGATAAATGTATAAAATTTATTTAACAATAAAGATGATTTTGTACGCGTCACTTACATTTACATATTATTCGTTACGACTTTAACATTTAAATGTATATTTAAATGAATCTAATAATATTTTTCGGATTTTTACTTTTAAAAGTAACCGAAACTTCGAGAGTATGTAGTTTTTTACAAAAATAAAGTCGAAAAATATTAGTTTGCTTTAAATGAATACTCTCGAAAATCTTAGATCTCATTAATTAAATGTACGAATAAATACTATTTGTAGTCAACTAGTTTGTTTGTTTCAATATATTGTTCTAATAACGAGCAACCTATTAATATTACATTTGTTTTATATTCGTTAAACACACAGCAAGTCTCCAGACGTGAATGGTCTCGCCCTGAGCGAGTCTAATCTAATATTTTTCGAATGGTCACCTCGAGTGTTCTGTCTGCTCGTGACGGTCTGAACGGAAATCCTTTTAAAAGTTATTTAATGCCCACCTGTGATCATTTTGTTCTGCGGCTGTGTTTCTCGGTACAGGTCTCTCCTCACAGCATGTCGCCCGCCACTCTGTCTGCCATTCACTTGTTCAATGTATCCTCGACTTTGTGTTTCATTTCATTCATGTCTACAACTTATATTATATCTGAATGCTCTCGTTTCTTATATTGTTAGTATTGTTCCATAGTGTCTGTAGTGAGTTTAATTTCATTAGTTATCGCTACATCTTATAAACGGTTCAAGTTGTTCGTTAATGTTCTTTTAGTGTATGTATAACGAGTCATTGGTAACGCTACGAAAACTAAAAGTCACGTATCAAATTGACACGCAGCTGATGGAGTGATGGTGGAGTTGAAAAAAATGATTCATTTTATTAACAAAAAATACTATTAGAATTAAATTATGTGTAAAATAATATGATCATTTTTAACGATCTATAATGATGCATTTTCTTACTCCTTCCAGTTCGTCTAAAGTCAATTCTTTCTTTTCTCATCCAAATATCATCTTTTAAGTCAGTATAATACCATTATTTATATAGCATTAATGTACTTAATATTATTTTATTATACTTTAAGTGAAAACCTAAATTTCAATAAGTTCATTGACCTTTGATGTTTTAATATAATCTGATAGTGTATATAATTTTAATTGTTTTTCTCTGAGTCACGTTAATAAAACTAGTTCCAATATAAATGTAATGTTGTATAAAGATCAATTACAGTCCTCATCACGACGGGGAATGAACCCGCTACCAGAGCACATGTTCCTCTAAGGGGTCCATCGTGTTATACCGTGGAAGACATTACACGTATAAAAATAATTTAATTAAAATTCCATAGATATTGTTTTGGCATTTTTTAAAGACTTTATTTGACATTGAATGAAGACCTTTTTAAAAATACATTATCACTGTTACCTATCTTATAAAATACAGCGACTGAATTAAAACCTTTGAGTTATAGGTATATTAATTGTAGTTATACTTTCTTAAATATTGTTAACAATAAATTATTTATACATCTTATTATATTCAACATGATTTATCCCTAAATATTGGCTTACTTAAGATGCTTTTCTGTAAACAAATATTAATTTTTTATTAAGTCACTGTAGGTAATTTTAATTTCTACATTATAATATACTTTCTATGAATTTAATAAATATTTAACAAAGCGATAAATCACGCGAAAATATTAATTAAGGAGTCATCTTACAAGCTTGACATAATTTATCAATCATTTTAGAAATAATATATTTCAGATGATCTTTTTCCATCTGATGCTGCGGTTTACGGGATGACTTAATTTATTTAATTCTCATATAATTATTAGTAAGATTTATACTCATTTCAATAAAACTAATCTTCTTGGCTACTACACGTTTGAATTATTTTATAACGACACAATGTTTACAATTTCATTTTTTTGTAACTACATCATACACTTTTATCTCATCTGTTCGTGATCACGGTTACTATAAAGTGTCGGGAGTATGTAGATATAAAAAAAACTTAGTTTCTCAAACTGGTTATTGAAATTATAAAATATATTTCATTTTATATTATTATAAATGTATTAAATATTGTAATGTCAGCGTCCCTTCAACACACTGAGAGGATTGTCACAGAAATGATTCAATTAGATCGGTACATTCATTAACAGATTGAGATGTCTTGTAGACTTATAATATATCGGTCGGATGAACTCGAGTTAATGATGGAGATTAAAACAAGGATCTGTTGTATTAAATGAATTAATATTATAATATAGATGGATTTGAATGAATAAATGTAAAATTAAGATTCGACTTTAAAGGCAGTTTCATTAGACTTCTGGTGTATAGCAATATATGTGGAACATTCTACCAAACACAACATTTAAATACAAAAATACAACTCTAATTTTATCAAGAGTTACTTCGCGTAAATTTTCTATTAGTCCATTATAAATTGAAACATAACAATTATTACCGTGTATTAGAAGTAAGGTCATGTAATTTTAGTGTGTTGTTCTTGTATGAATCTCGTTTTTTTCCCACGAATAAAATACCTCGTAGTACACAGTACCGGCACTCTGTCAGGTGAAGTGGCTTTTAACAGTTTGACAAACTATTGAGAGGCCTACGGACTGTGGAGTGTGGTACAAGTACGAGAGATATGACTGAGAAATAATGTATGAAGAATGAATGAAAGAATATGAAAGTTTGCAAGACTCGATTACATGATACTAAAGAAATTAGTTGATTGTATTATTAAATAATATATAAAGTTTACTCACGCTGTACAAAATATACATAAAAAAATTAACAATTAAAAACCACTATAGTAATATTTTAAATCGCTCTTCCCTCATAACTTGTACCACGCCCCATCTCTTGTACAATTTGAACCGCAAAACGACGTAGCATTGTATATAAAAATGTGGCATTATACTCTTTATATGATTGTTAATTCATTGTTGTAACAATGAGAGACGATTGTTAGAGTCGAGACTTGTTCAAGGAACTACTACAGTAGTTGTAGTATGAAGGGCTTCATTACAAGAGAAGTTAGCTGGAGTACTCTCTTCATTAAATAAGAATAAACTGTTTTATAAACAGCGCTTATTGTGGTTTGACAAATATTAAAAGGAAGTCAGGAAGTCTTGGAAATGTATACCGTACATTGAGAGATGAAATTGAAATGCAGGGTCAATAAGATTTAAATGTTTGTGTGAGCTTTCGTTTTAATGAGGTTAGAAAAATACTCGTTTATTAAATAACGTTTGGTGTACGAATTGACATGATAAAGAAAAAAGAAAAAAATGTTAAATTTATTATAATAAAAGAGTTAGGAATAAAGAGAGTAATAAGGAAGTATTATTTATAGTAGGAAATAATCGTCTCGTGTAAAGGATTGAGTTACAGATAAACCACAGATGAACCAAAACATATAAAAGATGATCAAATAAAGATAAGAAAAGAAAGGAAACGAAGGTCGGATAAAGAGTGTAAGTTGTGTAGCCCGC